TTAAAATTTAAAGACATATATATATATATATGTCTTTAAATTTTAAACAATAAATATATATATTTTTTCTGTAACTTGTTTTCAAAGATTACTACTTTGGGGCTCCTACAGTGTACTTTCTGTGTGGATGAAGGCTGAAAAGAAAATTAAAAAACTTTTGCATATTCACAAAAACATTCATGTGTGGACTGTCCTTAAATTATAAGATATCCATGCAATATGCAATCCGGTTTTTCACCATGACACACTTGTTTAGTTCTTGGAAAACAAAAAATAGTAAAATAAAAAAAAAAAAATATATATATATTTAAAAAAAAAGCTGGACTTCTATTCTTAGGATACCAGCCAAAGTTCACGTACAGTCATTATGGACATAAATGTTGAGCTTTTTGTATTTTTAAAAATTGGTTATTGAGATGTAAATTTAGTTAAAGAAAATAAAAACAACAGTGAAACAATTTTTATGACTCAAAACTGTAAAATCAGGCTCAGTGGTTTACTACTAGAACATAAGTGTAGCAAGTTGCTCCTTAAACTGAGCCATCAAACAGGCTCTACTAATTACTATGTATTTATTGTATTTATAATGAGTTACACAATCATTCATCCTCAAACAAAGTACAGATAATAAATACATTTTAAAAACCTCTTGATGCTCACAACATGTCCATTATGGGTGTTGGTAAAAAAAAAATTAAGAGTTGGACTTCATTTTAGTAATTATGAAAGATTTCAGTTTAACTTAAACTGCACTTCATTTGCATGGAAACAGAACTGATCAGTGATTTATATAAACAGTGGTTCATATGGCATAAAAGAGATAAAAGAAATATTTTCAACATTTAAAACTGAGTTTATTTTTGAAATACGTAGAACGGACTTTTGCTGTCATTGATCTGAAGCAAAGATGTCAGTGATGTTTTGAGTACAGTTGTTTCATATCTAAAGCAGATTTAAGAATTGCATTTACGTTTTTGAGATCTGCAGCAGTGACATATGGACAGGTGACTAAAGTAAGGAGTGGGGCAGAGAATGCGAGTGATCCCAACATGTTTACGTGTTGTCCCTCAACCCTGTGCTATGCAGCCAATACTACCCTTTAATATTCTACATGAAAAAGCAAAAAGACAAGGCTGGCAAATGTTGTGGCATGGGGGTTCTTTACCTGCTTTCTTGGAGAGCTGCACTGTCTGAGTTATTTTGAGTTTTTCCACACTAAACAACTGAAACAATCTGATTGGCTAAAGTATCCGAATAAGTATCACTTTCTTCCTGTGTTCTGGCACTGCAACTCTCCGTATAGAAAACCTGCCACCCTGCTGCTTTTGATTTATCCTGAATTAACCTAGCATTTTAACTTTTTTTCTCAGCATGTACACCCTCCCCTCACTACCACCCTAACTAATCACGTTGGAGCCAGTCCAATCTCATTCTGCACTAAACTACGTGTTGTCTTCAGACCAGCCCAGAGGCAAAAATAAATACTCCACGAATGCATGCGTCTTAATTTTACCATAAGCAAATGAATTAGCTGGATGGCTCTGAGTTCTTTGATTCTGATGTCTAAAGGAATTGGTGGATCATAATGTCAAGATGTCTTTGGTGCATTATGAATCACTGTTTGTGAGGCTGATAAATGCAATGCTGTTTGGGGTTCACTCACGAGACCTTCGGCAAAGCTGTTAATGTGAAGTCATGTGGAGAAAAGTATTTTAACATGCATCTGAAATGTTGAAATGCTGTTGCTTTGTTGTGGTATGCTGCTGCTGTTGTGCTGATTGTTTTTTTTCTGCCTCCACCTCCTGGTTTCCTGTGACAGTAACTTGGGTCTTTATCTCGTTCATAGTTCTAATGGCAAGTCTGTGTCATGGTCTGAATCAGGTGCAAGACACCCTCCGAAAGGGGGGAATGTGTGGCACAGACTGTCTGTGCATGTGAGGAAACAGGAAGCCGGCTTGAATCAGACAGCGGTCATCAGGCCCCTAACTAACACCCCCGACCCCCACAGTTCCGAGCCCTCCACCGAAAACCTTGGCACAGAGGCCCATCTCCCCCAGGAGCCACCCGGCAGTAAGCCTTTGTGCAATATGGCGGAGGAAGATGATGAGGGTGATTTACAATGCCCCCTCTGGACTCCCTCACAACAGACTCAAGGAGTTGATTCTGATTTGGACGAGCCGGCCTTTTTTTTGCCCTCTAACTTGAAATGCCCCAACCCAGAGCCCACGCAGAGGGCAGTGGTGAACACTCACAGCTCCCATGTCCCTAGACCGAATGACCACATAGCCAGGAAGCCACTTCCTGCCAGCAAGCCTTTGAGCTTAATACCCTCTCAACTTCCTTCAGCCTCACAAGTGGGAGCTTTTGAAGAGGAGTCTGGGGATGAGGAACTGGACCTCTTGCACAGCTACATCTATGATGCCAACGAAGAGAGGGAGGGGGAAAGCGGAGAAGACGAGGAGCTAGTTCAACACAAGTCAACTTTGCAGGATTCATTACCTCTGTCTCCCCCCTCCCCCTTCAGAGACTCTGTGTGTTCGGGGGACTCTAGCGGCTCCCCAATCATTGAGTCGATGCTCGGTAGCTCAGTCTACGCCTCAAATCTCCTGCAGAACTTCGCACACAGCTCCTCAACACTGTGAGAGCAAAACGGACCCCGATACATCGGAAACACAAATGAACATGTCAAACTGTTTAAGTAAATAATGTGCTTGTATTTATTCCTTTTATTAGTAGATGGTTTATTAAAGTAGACATTCACCAGGAGTTTATTTAATGTAGAAGTGTTTTCTGAAGGGCTGTCAGTGCACTTTCTGGAACATGTAAAACTGGGAATAGTGCCAAAACGAGCCAGACCTAATGCCAAACTTTTCACGAAGGATGCAACACTAGCAGCAAGGCTGAATGGTTTGTGTGAACAAAAAATGGAAATGAGAAACACATCTACACACTAAATTTCCAATAGTCACCAATTTGGATCAACCCTAATTCCACACAATTCTCGTAGGTCTATCTAAAGGAACCCTCGAGTCTTTCTTCTCAACACTTTTTGAATTTTAATCTTACAAATCTGCTGTAAGTTGGTTAATATTGCAGTGAAGTGTAGCGAGTTGCATCAACATGGAGATCCAGCTGAAGACTTGAGCTGTATCGTATTTTTCGGACTATAAGGCACACCGGATTATAAGGTGCATTAAGCGAAACAAAACAGATAAGTCAAACTTTTTTCAACTCATTAACAATAACCACAAAAAATCAGACTGAGGTCAGTAAGCACAGCCAAAATTAATACATAAGGTGCACCGGATTATAAGGCTCACTGTTGATTTTTGAGAAAATTAAAGGATTTTAAGTGTGCCTTATAGTCCGAAAAATACGGTACATGATGTGCAATGGGTATAATGTGCCAATCAAAAACTCTGAACAAAAAAAACATCCCTGCTTTTAGTTTTATTTCTAATGTAGCTGATGAATAATAGTGTGACTGTAGATATAACGGCAATGTTGTTCATTCTGTTTACGCTAAACAACAGCCCTGAGAACAAGTATTCCAAGTACAGTATTGGGATGCACTAAAAGAAATGTGCTTTTCATGCCTTGGTAATATGTTTCATGCTTCCTCGGTTTGCTGTGTCATTGTAATGGAAACACAGCACAAGTTATTCAAGTTTTCAAAGTTTGTACTACTATTAAGCCATCTCTTGTTTTTCACACAAGTGGTATGTTTGTAATACAGATACATGTTTCTATATTTAGAATGTCAACAGAAGAAAATAATTTATACACTTTGAAACAGTCTTATGAAACTTGTTAAGGTACAGTGCGTTTTAATTATTATTATTATTATTATTTGCAACATTTAAGCCAATTTGAGTTGACTGTATCCTCTTTAAAATATTTGGTTGTAATCATAACCATGAGTTAGCTGCTTCCTGTAATGAGAACGTTTCAGTTTAGCTTAAATCTTTCTATAAACTTGAGTAGTTCAGTTAAGGTTAAATTTCTTAGTTTTTTTTTTTTTTAATCTTGTATCAGAATGAATATAATTTCAGAGTATGAGACTACACGGTACATACTGTAGTGCAATTGTATTGTATTTCCAAATGTATTTTTAGTTGATTATAGTGCAATTTGTTTAATAATTTTAGATTATGTAAACTAATCAAGGTGCCAACTGTTTTAACACTGTTGAATCTATTTCAGACCTTTATTGTTTTGGGTGAGCTGGATATGAACAATGCTGTAAAATAAAATTATTTATATTAAAAGGTCTGATCATTGCCTACAAGAGCCAAAAGAGTTAGATCAAATGCCAAAGGTGACTCAATTCTATGAAGATACGTTCTTTTGTAATATTTTTCTTCAAGGCAATAGTTTGTTTTTCTTCTCTATGGGGTTTTGTGAAAAGTTATGAACAAAAAGCATCTTACCTGTTACAGATAGCTCTTTGAATAGCCTCAGTTTGAGGAAAAAAAAGTAAAGTTTTGACCAAATTGACAAGCTAACAGACAAGTGAGGAAGGTGGGAGTAGGCAGAACTTAAAGCCCCACTTCCCTGGTGCGCAAACTCAGGAAAAAACAACATGGCAGCTTTCACAATTAGATATTTTATGGCTTAAATTCTCAATAATATAAAAATGAAAAGACCTGACATTTAAATTTTTGTTTTTAGGACAAAGTCCTCCCCACCCAAAGAAAAAAAAACAACAAATCAAAACCATCCATCCACTATTTTTACCCGCTTCTTCCTTTCTGTGTCGCGGGGGGTCACTGGTGCTCATATCCAGCAGCCACTGTGCGAGAGGCAGGGTAGATCCTGGACAGGCTGCAAGTCCATCACAGCAAATGTGATCCATGCTGGCAAAATGAGCCACAATGATGATTTTCCCCCCAATATTGAATAGTTTTGTTAACGAGAGCGCCGGTTTGAAATGTCCATTTTTGTTGGCCTGAAGTGAAGTGACGTTATTGTCATTTAAAACAGGGAATCCCCAAACCTCACAATGATGCCACACATTATACATTTTACAGGCACTCCGGTGGCTGCTGCCTGAGAAAGTTTGTCGTCTTCAAAGAAAAAAAGAGAATTAAAACGATTATTTTATAAGACGTACCTGTTATAAAACTTTGATTTAACAGTAGATTAGAATATGTTGGCTTTGTTACTGGGATTGCTAGATGGTGTCTTTGTGGACTCTTTTTACATTTTGGCAAAAAAATCAAAGTTTTCTTGTTTTTGCATTACAGCCTGTGTCCATTCTGACTCATTTTGACAGCACAGGACACACATATTTGTTTAAAAGAATTTACTTTTTTACCTAAACGACTGCACATGCTCAAAGTCAGTATTTTGCAATGCATTGTGGTCTAGCTTGTTCACGCCTACTTCTGGATTCTTGAAATCCACTTGTGTTCATGTAGCTCCTCAGTCATTCTGATGCCCAGCAACACTGCACATTGAGGAAATTTCATTATCATAATGTAAAATACCAGTAAAACAAATGTATAAATTAGTTATGTTATAAAAGTCAATAAAAGAGAAGGTGTAAAGGACCAAAAGACTAGAGTTAAATGCTGACCTTGGATATTTGAATAATTGGTCTCTATGGACCTTTTTATGAATACTAATGGGCATGCTCCAAGTCAGTATTTTGTAATGCAATGTGCTCTAGATATATACATGCCTACTTCTGGTTCTTTGATATCTAATTGTCTTTTATTTGTCATTTGTGTACATTTCTTACTATCATTGAATATGACCTCCTTATCTGATGAAAAAATATTTATTTATCTTTGCGTTCACTTTTATCACTGGTTGGTATTTTACCAATACTTTCTACTATAGCTGGAAGTAGGTATGGATGTATTTGGACACATGGTGCCTGATTTTATGTGTGCACACTGGTACCCATAAAAAGATCCGTGATCTGCACACATGCATTGACCTAGTCAGTATATATATATTTTTTACACTTTCAGGTGTAGATAGTTCATATCTACCTATGTTTCAGCTGTGCTCTGCAGTCATTCCAGCATCCAGACACATTATACACATTGCTATTACAATGTAAAATACCATTAAAACTAATTAAAACTAAGTTTGGATATAACAGTTAATAAAAGAAAAGGTGTAAAGGACCAAGACAATGCAACCATTTTCAGTCAGGTCATCTGGACAGTTTCTTTTTTTTTTTTTTTTTCTGAAACGTTTCACCTTCCATCCAGAAGGCTTCATCAGTCAAGGAAACACACAACACAAAACTGATTCTTCCCCCAAACAGCTTACTCCAAAGTGGAACAACAAACCAGTTATGTTGGTGCTAAGATAGTGTCTTTGGCATGCCCCCCTCCTCTGGTGCCGGCCCACTTCCTCGTCGACAGTCATGTCAAACTGGTTCAAAACCAAAAAAGTCCAAAAAAAGACCAAAACAGTGGATATGAATGCCAGCTAGAACTAGCTAAGAAACTATTTGGTGGTGTGGTGTGTCCAATTTTATGCTACACATTAGTCAAAAGGTAATTTGCGCAGTAACAAACAATGTTCAGCCGAGAAAACGCCAAAATAAACTGTGTTATGCAAAAAAAGTTGAAGTTTAAAGTTAGTACTTTTACACTAGTATGTTGCTTTTGAGAAAAAGGTTGGTTAAAATACTGAAAGAAAAAAAACTGAGCCCTTGTTTGGCTAGCCCAGGGGTCTGCAACTTTTTTGATCAAAGAGCCATTTCTGCCCTCTCACTCATTAAACAAAAAAGAGCCACGAAACCTGCTACAACTCTGATGATCAACTGGTGGCTCATGGGCCACTTTGAGCTAGCTGGAGGGGGCTTTTCTGACCAGTGGGGGTGACATTTAAAAATAATAATCAGTAATTAATTTAAACATTTAATCATATTTTTACATATTGTGACAAAAAAAGAAATCATGTAAAGAGGTAAAAACTTCTAGTTTCTACCTTTAGATGAAAATAAAAACACTGAACTCTGCAGGCCTATGTGGACTTTTATGTGAGGAGAAATTAAGCATCCCACTTTGAAGTAATAAAGCAAAACATTGTGGTGTCGGTCCAACATTTGCAGAAAACTGACAAAAAATACAACCAAAACTAGCCTGTTTCGTTGTTGTTGTGGGTATAAAACCCAAGAACAATTACATTTCCCTTAAGTTTTGGTTAAAGCTTCATAGAGCTGCAGATGAAGGTCTTAAGAGCTGCATGTGGCCACTGAGCCACAGGTTGCAGACCCCTGGGCTAGCCATTAACTTAGACTTGACAGATTTTTGCCTTCTCTATGCCAGGGCTGCTCAAACTTTTTGAGTTCAGGGACCCCTTACAGGGGGGAAAAAGTTCCAGGGACCAACCTGTTCTTTAATAGTGTTAATACAATTTTTGTACTTTTAAACATGGGGTTATTTTTCATTCAAGACACACATAACACTTTTTTTTTTCATCTTCCAAAATTGACAATTTTGAGAAAATTAACAGCATCAAAACCCACTTTAAAACTTTACTTATTCACATAATGAACATAATAAATGTATCGCCACTTCTTCAAATTATTACAGAAAACTCTTTACATAAAACTGAACAGAATCATAACAGCAGTAGTCAGACCAAGTAACAGGGCTTAATTTGTAAAGTGATTGATGCCGGAACACAAATAGCTGGCGGGCTGCCACGGGGGGTGGGGGCCTGAGGGGTCTTCCTCCCCCAGAAAATTTTAAATAAAGTAGATGTGATTTCCTAAATTTTGGTGTATTTTAAAGGGTTGTGAAACATCTATGTGCTTGTAAAAAATTTTTTTTTTTTTTTTTTTTGGGGGGGGGTTACCCCCAATCACCTTCTCGGGGACCCCCCAGTTTGAGAACCACTGCTCTATACAAACTACTGATAAATATTAAACAGAACGTCCCTTTAAAACTCACCAAAATACCCTTTTAATTTTATTTAAAAGTGAGATTTGTACAGTTTGACACTTTAGTGTACTTTTTTAATGGACCGAAAAAATTCCCACACCTTTTTTCTTTTTTTACAATACTATAAAAATATATAAACTAAAATAATAATATAATAACTTATTATATTAGTAGAAAGTTTTTACCTCGTTCCATGTTTTTGAAAGCATTTTCCTGATTTAGAACATTAACTCAGACTACAGTGTATCACGTGTCAATCACGTGTACCAACCACGTGACTAGTTAACCTGTCAGGTATTAAAAGTATGACTTCCTGCTTTGCTTGCGTTTAAAAATTGAAAAAAAAAAATAATAATAATAAAAATAAAAAAAATCGAAGGAGGAGAGAAGCAAAACTCAAGCTCGTCCGACATTTCCGGGTCCTGTGACTTATCAGGTGGTTGGTGTGTGGCAGCGGGAGGAGGAAGAGGAGGAGGAGGAAAAGTGAGGAAGAAGAGGGGCGCCACGACTTTCTGACCGGACCACAGCCCTCCTCCAGCTCCTGTCAGCGCAGTTTATGACCGACGGGAAGCAGAAGTCCTTCTTAAGTTTCGATCAAAACGCGTTGAGTGTGTCAGCATGGCCGGAGGCTCGGTGTCGGAGTGTAAGGAGTACCTGTTCAAAGTGCTGGTCATCGGGGAGCTGGGAGTGGGCAAGACCAGCATCATCAAACGCTACGTCCACCAGCTGTTCTCGCAGCACTACAGGGCGACCATCGGGGTCGACTTCGCACTCAAGGTCCTCAACTGGGACAGCAGAACCCTGGTTCGGTTACAGCTGTGGGATATCGCAGGTAAGCCCACTGTAACCAGTATATGAGAAAGAGAGAGGAAAGTTTCTCCTACAGGTCACCTCATGTTCAGATGCGCACATTTGAAAGGTTTTGGTGACTTGTTGGTCTAAATTAGACAATAAACAGCACAGGGAGTTTTCCACTTTTCTGATCACATCAGCTCATAATAGTGAAAGGAATGTAGGTCACGTTGTTATTATCTAATAAGCACCGCCTCACCAACTTCTCACAGTTTTGTTTTTCTCTTTAAAAGACCTTCCTGCCTCTTATGCTATAATGTATACTGCAGAAATCTGCTCTATAAGTTACCCCAAGTAATCTTTTTCCTTAGACTTGGCCCTAATGCCAACCCTTGTGCATTCCAGCAGCTTGGGTAAACAATGCTGAAGGGAAATGCACACATTCCTCATGGAGAGACGGCCAGTTCTGCTCATGCTGAATGACATCTCTGGGTAGAAAATACTAATAACTGCGAACATGCAGTGTGAATGCTTATTGCAGAAGAACTTGCTGAAAAACAGCTGAAATGAGCTAAAAACATGCTGAAATGTAGCCGAAATGAAGAACCACCCTAATGTAGCAGAAGAATGTAGAAAGAACACATATTTTCTGAATTAGATTTAAATAATCAGAAATTAGTACAAAAACTAGCCAAAAAAAGAAGAAGCTGAAATTAACATAAAACAGCTATTATAGTAGCTGAAATAGCAGAAACTGGCAGAAAAACGCTGAAACTATAACAAACTAAAACTAGCATAAAGACGTTAATTAGCCTGAAAGTAGCAGAAATTACCATGAAAATCTTGAATTTATCTGAAAACAGCTGAAATTAGCTAAAAAATGCTAAAAAGGTAGCTGAAAATGTAGCCGAAATGAAGAACTAGCCTAATTTAGCAGACGAATGCAGAAAGAACACATATTTGCTGATTAGGTTCAAACAAGCAGAAATTAGTAGAAAAATTAGCACAAAAAAGCTGAGATTAGCATAAAACAGCTAAATAGTAGCTGAAATAGCAGAAACTGGCAGAAAAACGCTGAAAGTATAACAAACTAAAATTAGCATAAAGACGTTAATTAGCCTGAAAGTAACGGAAATTACCATAAAAAACTTGAATTTATCTGAAAACAGCTGAAATTAGCTAAAAAATGCTAAAAAGGTAGCTGAAAATGTAGAACAAGCTTAAATTAGCATTAAAAAGCAGAAAGAACACGTTTGCCCAGTTAGGCTGAAAGAAGCAGAAATGAGCACCAAAAAGTGGAAATTATCTGAAAAAAGCTGAAACTAGCAACAAAAAAACAAACAAAAAAACAAAACAAAAAATAAATAAACTGCTGAAAAGTAGGTAAAATATTAGAAAGAAGCTAAAATTACAAGAAGGAAGCAGAGAGAGCACATTTTTGAATTAGGCTGAAAAAAGTTGAAATGAGTAAAAATAAATGGAATTAGCTTAAAAAGCTTAAATTAGCATTAAACAGCTATTATTAGCTGAAAGAGTAGAAAAATCTGAAACCTGCAGAAATAAACTGAAAGAGCAAAAAAAGCTGAAATTAGCAGAAATAAGTTTAAAAAAGCACAAAAATGCTGTAGCTAGCAGAAAGAAGCTGAAGGGATTACAAAATAGCTAAAATTAGCTGAAAATAGATGAATTTTTGTTTAATTTGCACACTAAAGCTGATAGAAGCTGAAGCAGAACAAAATGTGAAAGGAGCAGTAAAAGGTTGTAAACCGATCTAAAGCTCTGAAGGATGAGCTCAATTCATTTTCTATGAGAAAAAAAGTGTCAGAAAAGGCTAAATATTTCAAAACGCTAAAGTTGCACCAATACCAAAAGTCACAGCACCCTTCTCATGAAAGAGCTGAACATTTTGATTTGTTGAAGTAGCACAAAAATTGTGGAACGAGAAAGATGCTGTAAAACGTACGGGAGAAAAATGGATCACAATAGTGTGAATGTTTCATAAACGTTCACACAATAAGAAAAAAATACACTAAACAAAACCTCACAGAGCAGTCTGAGAATGGCACGCTTGAAAAGACACGTGAGTGATGAGGACGTGAGCAAAAAGATGAGGGAATGGTGACAAACTTTTCAAACTCACCAGCCAGGTTTTCACACATCAACAGGTCAGTCGGTGTGATGGATGTGATGTCACGTGAGCCTCCAACTCTTTCATCTTTCATTTGATTGTATTTGTAACCTAAAGTATGTGACTGGAGAATGAAATTCCTTAGTCACAGCTACTCTGATGGTGCTGGAAGTCATGAGGCTCTTACGCTGGTCATCATGTGGTAAAGGGGCCTCTGAATATGTGTGTGGTATTCCGTTCACAGCTAAAACAAATAGTTATGTCTTTGGATTAATGTGCTGTAAAAAAAAAAAAAATGTCTGTCGTGAAATGGCTAAATGTGTCTGTTAACCAAAATATCTTAAAACCCACTGGATGGATTTTAAGGGAAACCTTCAGAAAGTAACCACTGGATGCACTTCTACGACTAAATACCGTGTGGAGTCTATGTAATTCAAAATGGCCGCCACAGCTAAACTCTAAGCAACACAAAAATGAATGTAACTCTGTGACTTTTACAGATATTGAGCTAAAATTTGGTGTAGTAGCTGAGACTGACACTCAATTCATATTCCTAGCAATAAGAGATTGTGCTGGATCTTTGTTTAAAACTTTGCAATTAACTACTTGGAATCAACTCTGTTCTGTTTGTTAGCTAAATATCTCATGAACAAGTAGACATATTTTAATGAAACTACAACTACAACTGTCATTTCTTAATATAAATTAATCTCAGTTTTAAATGCTAGCATTAAAGGCAGTAGGCAATATTCATTCCGTCAAGGAATGCTATGTCTTTTGATTTTTTTTTGTAGTAAATGCACTTTCCCACAGATTTCACAATTGCTCTTTTTTTTCTAACATTGTAATTAAATCATTCCGCGTACCGTAATTATTTGAATAATAGACAACATCCATTTAAATGGATTTAATTTTCTTTCTTTTGGGAGCAGGCAAACGTCTGATCAGTCCCTTTACAATGCCTACAGATAAAGGTGACATAATCAATCGAGACGTTTTATTGACACATTGTACTGAGTTTAATTGTATTTTAAATGAACAGACTTTTAACCTTAAATAAGTGAATAAAACCCAACATTTTCTTAAAAAAAATAGTCTGTGATTCCAGATTCAGTTTCAGTGATAGAATCTGTTTATGAAATGAAAAGTCAAAGCTATCTTTATATAACATTTGACATCAAAGTAATAGATTTTTTTAAAGTGGGGAAAGATTAAATGGAAAGGTTGTGAACATTTACTATCTTACTTGTAAATACCAGTAGCTTTGAGTTACCCAAGTTTAGAGAAAAGGACTTCAAGTCAGATTGTAGTTGACGATGCCACTCATGGCGTGTCATACTGCCGTTTTTCTTTGAGGTATTCCTGGTGTCAGAAACAATGCAGATGTAAAACTTTAGCATCCATCTACTTTCAATCCTTGAAACTGGTTGTCATATCTAATCTGATCTTGCCTTAAAACTTAACCAAGCGACTATGATTTAAATCAAATGTGAGTGAAACTGAAATTAAAAACTGACTAGGAAGAAAACTGAAAACAAGGAAGTGAAAGCCAACGAAGAGCCCCCCCCCCCCCCCAAAAAAAAAAACAAACAAAAAAAAACAGCAATAACTTACTAGGTCCAGAACAGTTAGGGCTGTAATAGTTATTGAAGATAATTTATTGTATTGTAAGAAAATGTATCCACAACTAAGTTTAGAATTGAAACTTTTCGCAATATATTCTAAACTGGCACCTCAGAGAATCAACCTGAAGGAAATTACACAAATAAGGGTTTCCGGATGAACCCCTAAGGGAAAGAACCTTGACTTTCAAATCGTACATGTTTGAAAGTGAACAAAAATGAAAGGACCTTCTTGAATAATCTACTCTGGGCCAAAAAAAAAAAAAATCAGTTTTAGCTGTTTGATGGGAGAACTGTTTCTTTTTTATTGACAAAAGACCCTGACACCAACTACTTAGCATGGCTGTGAAAATACTATAATGTAGCTTTGCTTTGTTACTTCAGGTATTGGACAACTTGCTATAATTGTACTATTTGAAGTTGAGTTTCTTTGGGTATTATATCTAAGAAATCTGTGTTTGCTTTTGTTTTAAATTGCTTAAAAGGAAAAAGAACCACAATTCAAAATCAGAGACGAGAAGAAGTCAACTCTGGGGAAACGAGGAATTGGGGACTTCTGAGACTAATTTTCTTACAGTTCAATAATTATTACTACCTTTAGGCACTGTTTCAAGCACATCCTTCCATCTATTATCCTTACCCGCTTTTTCCTTTTTGGGTCGCGGGGGTCACTGGTGCCCATATCCAGCCATCACTGTGCAAGAGACGGGGTACACCCTGGACAAGTCTCCAGTCCATATCAGAGACACATAGAGCCAAACGAGACAAACAACCATTCACTCTCTCACTCAAACTTGGAGTTACCAATCAGCCTAACATGCTTTTTTTTTGGTCTATGGGAGAAAACCGGAGTACCCGGAGAAAACCCACAACTGCATGGAGAGAACATGAAAACTCCACCCAGAAAGGTCCCTGGTGGGGATTTGATCCGTCGACCTTCTCGCTGAGAGGCAACAGCTCTACCAACAGAAGCACCCGAGACCATTTCAAGCACAAATTCTCAAATTTCATTAGATGTTCTTACATTTCTTGACTAGGTGTACTGATAAAAGGTGGGTGCTCACGTAACTAAATCTGTCCTTGTTCATTTGTATGTTTGTTGGCAAAATATTTAATGAACCACTGCAAATTTTTTATCAATCGATCGTTAAAACAGATTTGAAAGAAAACGGAGAAAGGGAGGGGTCAGTGAAGAGCACCGGAGATGAGCTTTTTGCCATCCAGTGTCTTCTGAAAGAGAGAGACACGAAGAAATGATGAAGCCGATAAATGAAAATGGGTCGATAATTT